GGGAATGAAACGCCGGTAGAAGTTGACGAGACCGAGAAATTCCCTGAGTTTGGTGAGAGTTGTTGGTTGGGGAAAATCACGGATAGCACTGACCTTTCCAGCAAGTGGTTGCACTCCGTGACGGTCAACGTGATGTCCAAGGAATTCCAGTGACTCTGTGCCAAACAGACATTTCGCGGGGTTGATGATCACGCCGTATTGTTGGAGGCGGTCAAACAGAAGGCGAAGATGCGTTTCATGTTGATCGGCATCAGTACTGGCAACTAAGAGGTCATCGATGAAGGCATAACAAAAGTCCAAACCTCTTGTTACTTCATCAATGAAGCGTTGGAACGTTTGGGCGGCGTTGCGCAAACCAAATGGCATACGGGTAAATTCGAAGAGCCCAAACGGAGTCGTGATAGCGGTTTTAGCAATATCGTCTGGTGCCATGGGAATCTGATGGTATGCGCGGATGAGGTCGATCTTGGAAAATATCACAGTGCCATGTAGTGATGATGTAAAGTCTTGGATATGTGGCACTGGATAACGATCAGGCACTGTGGATTTGTTGAGAGCCCGATAGTCACCGCATGGACGCCAATCCCAAGGTTGCTTTTTGGGGACCATATGAAGAGGTGAGGACCAGTTACTGGCCGAAGGGCGCACGATACCTAAGTCCATCATGTGTTGGAACTCGTCTTTGGCGACTTTCAAACGGTCAGGTGCAAGACGGCGAGGGCGTGCGGCTGTAGAGGGGCCAGTCGTGATGATATGGTGCTCAACGTTGTGTTTGATTCGAGTGTCACTATAGGTGGGACGCGTTATGCTGGGGAAATCCTTCAAAATGTCCGCGAATCGAGATGGGGTGGGCGGTTTGAAGATGGGGCTGAGCGATGGCGATGTTGATGCTTTTCCATCGATGCTTAAGCTGGTCGTAGCATCAACTAGCCTGCAGTTGCGAATGTCAACAAGAAAGTTGAAATAACGAAGGAAGTCTGCGCCTATGATTGCATGTTGAACGTCGGCGACGATGAACACCCATCGGCATGGCCGCCGAATCCCAATGTCAAGTGTCAATGACCTTTCACCATAAGTAGCGATTTGCGATGCGTTAGCTGCTTGAAGGTCATGTCCATGACAGCGGTGGGCGCGGTCGTGAGATGAAGGAGGGATGACACTCACCTCTGCTCCTGTGTCCACAAGGAATTGTTGCTTCGTTACTCGATCTGTGACATAAAATAGGCAATGAGATGGGGAACGGCCGGCAGAGCATGTCGCCCCTACTTGCCGGCTTGGTCGTTTTCCTGGTGACCGGCCTTATAAGAACATGGCTACGTACATTTGTGGGCCATAGCTCCAAATTTCTGGTGGTACCAACACTCTGCATCGTGCGTGGCCGTGGCTGCTGATCTACGGTCATCAGTGCGTTGGCGACGCGGTTGACTGCAGCTGCGACTGCGTTCACGTGGACGGCTGGTGAGGGTGGATATCATTGATGCCAAATTCGCTACTTCGGCCCGCAGTTGTTGAATTTCGGTTGGTGGCGGAGATTCAATGGTAGTGATGTGTGCAGAGACAGGTGCCTGGGTAGGGGAGACTCCCATGATTTTATCTGCTAACTTTGCCAATTGGTCGATGTCGACCTCTTCTGAGGTGGAAGCAAGAATTAGCCGAGCATTGGTTGGAAACCGCTGGAGAAAAAGTTGTTTCATTATTGATGGCTCCAATGTTCGCTCCCCCAAGAGCTGTTGCATCTTGCGGAGCAGTTGGGAGGGCTTTCGATCCCCCAACTCCTCTGTTGTCAAGAGTTGATGCAAGCGTTTTTGTTCAGATTGAGATGTGCGCTTGATAAGCTCCTTTTCCAGCGTTGTGTATGGAGCCTCTGAGGGTGGAGTTATTAAAATATCCCTCACCTCCTGCGCTATAGTTGGCTGCAGGGACGCCACCACATATATCTGGTGTGTTCGGAGGTTATGCCTCGAGTGGTGAATTGTGCCTCCACTTGGGTGAACCATATTGTTGGGTCAGATGGCCAGTATGGTGGGAGTTTGAGGCTGATGGTAGCGGTTACGGGTGGCTGTGCTGTTTCGCCGGTACTGGTTGTAGCAAGAGTAGTAGGCATCGCTGCAGTTGATTCCAAAATTCCACTGTTTTGTTGTATAGATCACGTCTGGGTCACCAGTTTGGGGTATGGTTGATGGAATAATGGAATACACACGATGTTGGTCGTACAGCGACTTTATTCTAACAATCGAACAACGAGGGGTTAAAAGTTAACAAATTAAGCTATAATTATATGGAAGAAAACGCTACAGGCCTATGTACAAAGAAGTCCGACGGCCCGAGGGGGGGGGGCGACTGGGGGGGGGGGGCGACTGGCGGTCGCCTCCTACGCCCCCCCCCCGGTGGCTACGCCATTGCCTTGTTGGTTTAAGTTGTATATACATTTTATTACAGGCCACTTAAAATGTACAAACTTACGATGTTCGCTATTAAAGATAAGCATTATTTTTTCCCAACAACACTGTTTTGTTAAATGTCGTACATATCAAATATCAAAAGATGGCGCTCTCTCTCTCTCTCTCTGCGTTATGCATTAATGGTCCATATATAACAATGAATAGTGTTTAATCACCGACGTTTGGCAGCTGATTCGTGGACTGGTTGGAAGTGGAGTGACTTCTAATTTGGGGATCCGACTTCGAATCTCATTGAGCGGTTTTCACTTTTTACCTTTTAAATCAGTGAGGAAGGAACATTTCTCACAAGACGTAAAGCCTATCTATGGTTTGTGTTGTGGAAAACAAGGCACTAGATATGCATGTAATGGACCAATCAGAAGATGGGAAACGGATTACGTTTGGGGTAACTTGAAGATTCGCGGGCCGGCCATAGTACGTAATGGGAACGACAGATCGGACGTTGGACTAATGGGTCGGACATACTGCCCTCCTTGGTCAAAATCAGGTGCTGTCGGACATAATAATACCGATAACGGACGTAATCGTCATGAACTTGCATGCGTGTAGAATCGTCGGTGTGCTACGTCGCTACTACATGTAGATAAACCAGATACTGAAAAACGATCTATATCGTCCCAGTCTCATGGTATTTTGTTTGCACCTTTAACTAAAAAAAGGACTAAAAATGGTACTACATTACAACTTTAGGACGGCCATAATAATGCACTGAAAATGCGTCCCCAATCTTCCAAAAATTATTTACGAATTACTTCGCAGTGTAAAATATGATCACTATAAATTTAATTTCGAAGAAAATATGTATAGCAAGAACTAAATGTCTAACTTGCAAAGCTATCCGCTTCGTTCACAAGTACCCCCTCACCGGCAGTGGCGTAGCCAGGAATTATTCAGTAGGTGGGGGGGGGGGGGGGGGGGACATTTCATGGGGAGCGTCATGTAGATCAATGATAACTTGTTTAGAAACTCAAAATCTCAGTGGGGGGGGGCGACTGGGGGGGGGGGGGCGACAAGGTTTCATGGGGGCTGTCGATCCCCCCCCCCCCCCCCCCCCCCCGTGGCTACGCCACTGCTCACCGGCAACGAAACTACAGTTGGGGTTGACCGACCAACGCCATCATTTTTGCCTGACTGCAATTTTGCCGCGACGCGCGGCCGGAAGTATATACCACTGCGTGTACATAGTACAAATCCCCTAGTGTACGTGCGTCACACATAAGAAACGGTGCGCGTCAACCAACTAATTAATGTCCCGCCCGCGCTTATTTTTTTCCGTACCACACGCTGTTAGTTCGAAGTACGTTGTGTTGCAAGTCAGGTTCTTGGACTTTATTTTCCCTTGAAAAAAAAATCCTCCAAACCACATATTGGTAAAAGAAAAATGTTCCAAATGAATAACAAACCTTTTCAAGAGAAAAAAAAAGAAGTAAAGAAGAAGAAATTAAAAAAGAGCAGCATTCACTGAGAAACTTGCACCACCGATTCGTAATTTAACGTAGTATCCACTGCACTACCAGCAGTGAGTCGATCGGTATGGTTGTTTTAAACATTTTATTATTGCATATATAGCGCCCTCCAGCATAGTTCTATATACATTGTATACTAGAGAGCGTGTGGTATGACAAAAAAATCGCGTCCCACCCATGGGACGTCGTTGCTAGGTAAAAGGGCGCCCACTCGTTGGCGCACGGAGCCCATAGGCCTATTGCATTGGTCAGTTTAAACCTATGGTTCCTGTGGCTTATGAAGTCGTTCTCTTCCCTTTTCAAATCTTTCCATTTCTTCTCAGATCGAACACGTTTCCAAAACAATAGTAAAATCAACTAAGTCAGTAACATTCCAATATTGTTATAAATGCACACGAACAAAGATAAGAGACACGAAGTTTGCGGTGCGTGCAGCGTACTGAATGCTTAGCTATCAAAACAGTCGATGGTCTTCTTTTTCATTTTGTTTGATCGAGCTTCTTGATACAATCATTCAATAACTCGGCTGGACAAAAAAAAAAGGTTTTCACAATATTTGGCAATATAGCTTTGTATTTTACATAAAAAAGAAATAAACAGATTTAAAAATATATATATAAATAAATATATATACTACTAAGGAAACCGACAGTCTTTTCGCAACTCACACAAAACATGCAACGATCGGCCTACAACTTAGGCCTCTAAAACAAAGCTATCTAAACCGTAGGGGGAACAGAACCAAATAGTTATCTTGATGTTTATTGGTCATTTATAACGACACACGGACTGACTAAACAGATACAATTCTGCTCTGCCAATGGCCCAACAAAACCACTAAGTAAACATATTGTAAAAATCACTATCAGTGAAACCTCAATAATGCGTGTTAATTTCATTTACAATCTAATCCAATGATGAACCAAAATGCTCATGAATAAAGTGAATAAAAAAGCAGATGCTAGCAAATTGGCCTCGAGATTATAAATTGCAGTAGCTTGATTTTGTTTCCACCACTGAAGACTAGTCTGTCGTCTGCTGTAGTCCGTTCTAAGCACTATCACCATACACCATGCGTATCGTCATTAAGTTGCTGAGTGTAGCTGTGTTACTTCAGTTTGCCTGTCCTACAGATGCGAGTAAGTACATACTCGGCTAATACTTTTAATCTTTATTAAGCCCCTGTCACATAGTAGCGAATATAGCAAACGTATGCCTAGCGTACTGATTTATTTTCTCGAAATTTGGCAAAGTCCAGATACGCTCAAATTCTCGGCCAAAATCTGTTTTGTGGCGAACTCCTGACGTATAAGACGAATGCCAATCGAATGAGGAACGGATGCTGAGCGTATAGAAGTAACGAATGACAACACATGCGTAGCGTCCATCCAACGAATGCTGAACGTACGTAACGAATGACAACCGTATGCCTATAGCGTGCTGCGGCCGGTCACGTGACGTGTCTCCGCTGACCGTACCCATAAATACGCTCTCCAAGTCCCCGTCGTCACATTCGTACGGAAGTGTATTAAGGACATGACCAAAAAAAAAAAAAATTCCGGCCCTCTATTTCGCCCGGGCGGATTACTATTTCGCCCGGGCGGATTACTATTTCGCCCGGCAGAATTACTTATTCGCCCGGGCGGATTACTAATTCGCCCAGGCGGATTACTAATTCGCCCGGGCGAATTACTATTTCGCCTGGACGGATTACTAATTCGCCCGGGCGAATTAGTAGTCTGCCAAGGCGGGAGAATTGGTAATCTGACCGGGCGAATTAGTAGTCTGCCCGGGCGAATTAGTAATCCGCCCGGGCGGAATAGTAATCCGCCCGGGCGGAATAGTAATCCGCCCGGGCGAAATAATAATCCGCCCGGGCGAAATAGTAATCCGCCCGGGCGAAATAGTAATCTGCCCGGGCGAAATAGTAATCCGCCCGGGCGAAATAGTAATCCGCACGGGCGAAGTAGTGGGCCTAAAAAATATTTTCGGTCATGTCCTAAATACGCTTCCGTACATTCGTAAGCCATTCGTTAGACAAACTCTATGTATACGTTGGGCATTCGCTATTATGACAAAGATCCTTGGGTTGGACGTATATGTCCAAACAGCTGACGAAGAAGCAACCTACACCCAACGTGCGAAACGTTCACACATCGAATGCTCAACGTATACATAGCGTATTGATCACTACGTTGTCGCCCGCTCAAAATTTTGAACATGCTCAACATTTTTCCTAGACCCCAGCGCACCTCTGCGAACCCCTAACAAACCGCTAACGAATACAACTTATGCCAAACGTGTCACGAACGAATGACAACTTCACGAACATACACCCAAATCTCCCAAAACGTCGGACACACGTTTAGTCAAGTTCGCAACAGTGTGACAGGGCCTTTAGGCCTACTGCATTATGTGCGTATTATGTGTATACATGCATGTATATGTTTTCGAATGTTTTTTGGGGGGGTTTTACGTTGGGCTATTTAATAGGGCATGCCCCTCAATTAGAACATAAAGTTGATCAGAGGTTTGGTAACGACCTAGTTTACCCTAAGCTAATGTAAAATAAAATAAACGATGTACATTTCCATCAGAAACGAAGACTGTTGTGTCATTTCTGTAATGGACTCGAATGATGTGTATTCTAACACCTTTACGCTAAGCACAAAATAGGATAGTGGCAGTGCTCTTTTTTTACGGAAGTGTATTTAGGACATGACCAAAAAAAAAAGTTCCTGCCCTCTATTTCGCCCGAGCGGATTACTATTTCGCCCAGGCGAATTACTATTTCGCCCGGACGGATTACTAATTCGCCCAGGCAAACTAGTAGTCTGCTCGGCCGGGAGAATTAGTAATCTGCCCGGGCGAATTAGTAGTCTGCCCGGGCGAATTAGTAATCCGCCCGGGCGGAATAGTAATCCGCCCGGGCGGAATAGTAATCTGCCAAGGCGAAATAGTAGTCCGCCCGGGCGAAATAGTAGTCCGCCCGGGCGAAATAGTAATCCGCCCGGGCGAAATAGTAATCCGCCCCGGGCGAAATTTAGTAATCCGCCCCGGGCGAAATAGTAATCCGCCCCGGGCGAAATTTAGTAATCCGCCCCGGGCGAAATTTAGTAATCCGCCCGGGCGAAATAGTAATCCGCCTGGGCGAAGTAGTGGGCTTAAGAAATATTTTCGGTCACGTCCTAAATACGCTTCCGTACTTTTTACTGTGGAAGGAAATCCTTTAAATTTGTGGGTTTTTTGGTTCCTTTAAATTTATGAATATTATTATTATTAGTGTTACTTCATGACACATTTTGTAAAAATCAATGTATGTACCTCTCTTTGCTTTTCCCCACAGCAGACGACAGATTGTTTGAATGCTCGTGCATTCTGGACCAACGTGAGTAGACTGTGCATGTATACGATGTGTGGATTATCGGCTAATGGCTATTCCTGATTTCTTTTTCATTTCAAGCAAATACATTGGTCATATTTTGGGTGGGATGCAATAACAAGTAAGGCGAGCCATCAGATAACAGACCGTTCGGGTACCGGGTCCGGTATGCTAATTTCTTTCACCCCAATCGGTACGAAGCCAGAAGCCACCCGGTCACTGAAGCGTGACGCCCCAATCGGTCCAAACTGGTGACTCAGGGTTTCACAATAGGCAACATAAATTGAAGTCTGGCCATTGTTGGAGGATTATTCGGCCCGCTCGGATTACCAGCGGCAACTTCTATGAAGCTCATCACAGCCATTGTTGCCTACTGGAGGATTAGCGCGTCGCAAATTGATTCCTTTGTGATGAGCCAGAGCCATGGTGCAGAAGCCTGGTGGAGTTAATCCAGGCCGATCGGTTCCATGCAAGGTCCCAATCCCTTCAACATACTGGGCGGGCTCAACCCCGAACGGTCTGGGGAGGGATTCTAATTTGAGGGCTCGCCTAAGTTATCCTTTAAATTCTGAGCTCACTGAATAAGAAAACGTTATATGCACAAACATTTGGTCTATGATTCTGTTGCTAACTTAATTCAAAATGGCTGTTTTCTATTTGTACACCCTCTCGTCGCGTATTGATTCCTGTAAACGATCACAACTGGGAACATATTCTCATTCAGTCCGGTAGTGTCGTCAATGTCTCATAACAGTACATGGCCAATCCCCGCAATAGAAGGGGTGCCGTTTATATATAATTTCATGGAGTAGTAAGGGTCAATCCTGCATGGTTATTGGCGCAAATCATGACATGACTTTCAATGCGCGAACACGAAATCTAGGGGCATGTATATTGGCTTCAGAAACATTGTAATTAAATTCAACCTCGTATCATAATAATTATCTGTAAATTTGCAATTAGTTAGCACACTCTGTTGTATGATAATGCCATCAACATTCTATCAAAATTGAAGCAAAGCTACTAAACCCCCCTTGTCGCAAAGAAAAGTATCACACTTCAACGGTTATATATATTCCCAAGTTCCATTAAATGGAGACATAATTGGTGAAGAAACAATTAGTCAACTTAATTAAATCATGTCTTTTCTTCACACCCGCATTATGTTTTCAATTGAGACAAAAAGTAAACATCAGGATAATCCTGACACTAGAGGACGGCCTGCCATGCAGATGTATGTATAATACGTCAATGTCTACCGTAGGTTTCTATAATTTGTAAATCAACAGCGCCACCAAGAATGTGTCCGATAGATCCTTGTATATTAAATGTTTCAAATCACGTTATTTCCATGAAAACATACTTGGTATCGTATGTTACGAAGACGAAAATATACAAGTTAAGTTCTGAATATTATAAATGTCCATATCGACGATATTTCAGAAGGTATTACTTTTTTTAGCATGTCAACCAAATCTCTTAATAGAACTTTAAATATCGAATTTATATAAACGCCATTATCGCCGATGTACTGGATTGACCACCAGTCCCTTAGTTGAGCAAGGCTTTTCTCATTACAAGTTCCATGCGATGAATTGTTCTTAGGGACACATTTTGTGCATCTCTACTCCTCTTAAATATGAAAAAAAAACATATGACATCCCTTTTTGGTTAATTATATTGAAGGGTGCATTTCCGTAAACATGTACAAGTTTCCCGCTTTTTCCGGACAACTTACAAAGCGCTGTTGATGTAACGTCATTTCAGGAAGTTACTGAACGGTTCAGTGTAGGGGTTTTCTGTTCGAGTTGGGAACTCAAAAATGTGCTCGTTGAAAACATGTAGGAGACACTTATACTGTCATGTACCGACACAACACAAATCAACAAATTTACAAAGAAAAGAAACTCTACACGACAGCAAAATATCAAAAATTCTATAACTTTTGTGCTGAGTATTTGTGTAACATTAAGATTTCTGCCCGGAATAACATAACAGTATTGCTCATCATAAATATGGAATTTGCATCAGCTTAAAAACAAAAAAAAAAGCTCAACGATACCTCTAGATGCAGCTCGATAAAAGCTGATAAGCTGGGGGACTGCTATAATAGCGCAGACAACGGCAACATGCCACTGCACGACATTCAACCCTATATGTGCATCTGTCCGTGGCCAAACACTCCCGACGTCAAGGGGTATAAAAAAGAGGAGTATTATAGTTGCACAAAATATATTCCTACTCATGGCAAGAACCCTTTAACGCTTCTGAACTCAGCTCACCATTATTGTTATTCGTGATTCGTTGTCAGTCAACCGTTTCGTTTCCACATTCCAGTTGACCCTGATCATGTCTGCGACGAAACATTTCAGCCGGTAACCTATGCGGGATTAGGCACATTCACCGCCGACCTGCAGTGCCATCGCAGGGGATTTCCCCCTGACAACATCAACGACATCGGCACCAGGTTTTACTTGTACACCCGTGAGAACCCATCAGCTGACGTGGAGTTGACAGAAGCATCGGGAGGAAAAGTGCCTTTCTCCTCCGCTAGACCTACAAAGTTTATCATTCACGGATTCCAAAGCAATGGAAAAAAGAGTTGGGTGCTCGAAATGAAAGACGAATTGCTGAAAAAGGTCGGTACACTTTAACATGGATGAAGGATTAAGTTATCATTTCAGAGAAACGGAAGATATATAACAATATGTTTTGCTCCTGATTTTAATGGAAACAGAAAGAACACAGAGGGTCGGGCTACTAAGTTAATTGGCGAAAATAGTACGAAGACAAGAGTGCGTGGCATCCGTATGTACAGGGTGAGTTAAAAAAAACGGAACCCAAACTCCAACAAATATATTTCATATTTAAAAAAATATGTAGCACCAAAATAATAATGACTGGAAAGCCAATTTTATAAGCTACTTTTAGAAAAAAAAAATATTGAAATTGCTCAATCCGTTCAAAGAATATCTCCAGTTAAACGCAATGACCCTAAAACCTGTCTCGTCCAAAAAAACCCCCAAACCCCAATTTTTTGTTTGTTTTGACTGTTTGGAACAACAAAGAAAATGATACAGAATACTTAATTGTTTCAACAACTGTCACCAACTGTAATACACAATATCTTTAATAACCCTGTTTATGCAAACAATTATGATTTATAAAATCTACTTTGTTTAAAAGACGGGCCTTCAAAAGGACTTTGATGAATATTTTTAACGTTTAAACTGAGATTTTATCGCTAATGATGTTTGAAGGCAATTGTAACGACGATTCTTGAAATCGCATTTTTTTGGACGAGACAGGTTTTACTAGGGTCATTGTATTTAAATGGTGATATTGTTTGAACGGATTGACCGATTTCAGTATTCTTTTCATCTAAAAGTAGCTTATGAAATTGGCTTTTCAGTCATTATTATTTTTGGTGCTACATATTTGTTTAACTGATATGAAATATAATTTTTGGGGTTTGGGTTCCGCTTTTGTTGACTCATCCTGTATAGGGCATAACGGTCTCCAGCTAGAACCTAAACATAATTATATATATATATACATGGTATTGCTATTATACATAAACAGAGTGCCTATATACATGCAACCTTGCTTAGCTTTTTGGTAAACTGTTTGGTAAAATGTATATTTATCCAGGATTTTTCTAGAGGGGGAATAGCACATTTCCCACCCCACACCCCCGAAATCCATGTACTTTTTGAGGGTGGGCAGGGACATTCCCCCCTCTCCCATTAAATTAACAGCAATTTGACCTCGCGCCTCTTTTTCGTTTTGCTTTGTTCCTCTTTTTTGGTTGCTTTTCCGAGGAGGTAGCGCCCCCCCCCCCTCGCGACACACATGCAGTTAATCCGTATATAAATAGTACCGTCAGGCCAGAGAGGCAGTTTTATTGAAGGCAATTCGCTCTTTGCACGCTTCTGCCATGAGCATGCACAGCCTCGATCTGGCAACTTTACACAATAAAATATAGCCGGTAATCACTGAACCCCGACACGGGAATCACTGAACCGGCTATATCTATTGTGTAGTTGCCAGATCGAGGCTCTGCATGCTTAAGGCGGGAGCGCGCAAAGGGCGAATAAGGGGAATCTGTGAATTTATACAGCTTGGCGGTGATGGCTGTCATGCATGATGTGCATAAATATCCGTCTATATATCTGTCTGATGTTGGGTTGTCTGTCTGTCTGTCTGCGTGTCACGTTTTTTGTGTGTAAAACATGAAAAGGCCTGAAGAGTGTGCGTAAGAACAAACTGTCAGGGTAATCATGGAGACTTGGTTATGGTATACAATATGCCCTGATATCACAGTCCTCTGAAGTCACGGTTTGCACGAGAAAAAAATGATTGATTTATTTGTTTTGCTTTTTTGGGCAAATTTGTTTCTTTCAGACTTTGAATAGTTAAATATTACACTACCTCTATACGAAAACACTCCAATACGTATCGCTATTACGCAAAATATGAACATAACGTTGATGATGAAAAAAATGCGGCAAAATTACTTTTATATAAGGCTTACGCGCACTTATGGTCAACATGCCAATCGAGGTCAAAGTTAAGATTTGTTGCTAGCATGAGCGGGTAGCGATTGTTTTTTCTCCGTAGGCGGGATGCTCCAAAATCATGCATAATTTAGATTTCCTTTGAATCGTTGCAAGACACTTAGGTCCTCGTTCTCTTTTTTTCCCCTTGAAATAATATTATCTCAACGATGAATTCAGAGAAGTAAAAACAGTCGATGAAAATGAGTATCAACGACGTGGATTCGAACCAGGGATCTTTGTATCCATAGCTCATCACGCTATCCACTGTGTGGTAGCTCGACGTCGACGTCTGTACTTTAAAATGCTTTAAAGTAATTGGTTGACCAAATAACAACAATTAATGCTCTTGATATCATTGTTCTGTTTTATGAATAAACATACTGGCCCGATCGAAAGTATTGAATTATTCATGATTTTGGAGCATCCCGCCTACGGAAAAGGAATTCGCGAGCGGGTAGTTTATCCCTTCAGTGAGTTTGAACATCCGTGCTCTATTCGTTTTATTGACCCTCAAAGAAGTCTGGAAGTAAACTGTATTTTGATGGAAATGCAGGGGGACTTCAACGTCATCAGTGTGGATTGGAAAGATGGTGCCGATCCGAGTTTCCTGCCCGACTACTGCCAGGCAAGGCAGAACATCCGTGTTGTAGCTCGCCAAATCGTCAATCTGCTCCAGCAAATGCTGAACCAATACTCGGACTTCGACCTCGCTGACGTGCATCTGATTGGTCACAGTCTTGGAGGACAGATGGCCGGGTACGTCGGCCAGCACATGTCAGGACAAATCGGACGTATATCTGGTAAGTATTATAGGCCTAGCCTAGTATCCGGTTCGTAAGTGACTTCGCGCGTACCCGGTACACGTCGCTAAAACTGCTTAAAGGGAATATACAACATTTGCAAACATCAAAAAACAAAACTGCCAAATTATTATGAAAAATCTTACTAGACTGTTAGTTCACGACAGTCTAAAAGCATCCTGTAAAATTATGGCACCTTGTGTGCTGATATTTTCAAGAAAAGTGATTTTTTTTGTGTCATTTTCCAACGCTGGTCGGCCGACCAGCGTTGGAAAAACACTGGCCTTTTTTCAAATAGTGCCCCCGGTTTGCCATATTTAGTTTGTCTGAATTTTGTTTGCAATTGATTACACATCTATGAATAGATACAAGCCTTCTAGACTGGTACCCTGACCTTATAATTCCCTGACGTCTATAAATTGCTCCATTCCAATTCAAGTAGTGTCAGGGAACCAGACTAAAAAGAACATGATTGTTTTCTTGATTTTTCCAGAACTTACCGATCACAACACTTCAGCAAGTCAGTGTAACAATATTTGCTATAAATATTAATCCCCAAATCCATCCGTTTACAGCAAAAGTAAATGCTGTATATTCCCTTTAAAGATAAACCTTAACAGGCCAGAACTGCAGCGCAAATGAAAAAAGTACGAAAACTCCTTTCCATTTATACGTGTTCGTCAGTAGTTTTAAAACCAGTTTTACTTTTTCCCCCCACATCTTATCATTGTCAATTATGCACCAGGGATTTCACCACTCAAATGATTATAGCCCGTCACATTCCGACTTCCAAAACGTGGGTCAAGTTGTTGACTTGATTCATCATGTTTCTCTGTACTGTAGGCATGGATCCAGCAGAGCCCGACTTCCAAGGTGATGAGGTCGACTGTCGGCTTGACCCTAGTGATGCTGCATTTGTGGACGTGATCCATGCCTCAATGTTCGGAATATTCCAACCGGTTAGTTAAATGTTCAGCTTCCCATCCAATTTCACAACTTGGACAATTTCCCAACTTGTATTATGCAAAACTTTAATGCGGCTTCGCGTGTATAGGCCAATTTCATGTTTTGATTTAGCGGAAGTTCCAAATAAGTCCAAAATAAGTACATTCAAGGCGTAAAAGGGTAGCATTTCAGTGTCGCCGGAAGTCAGTTGCATTAGCAAGATTGTGGTCACTGTGACGCTCTGTACTAAACAGAGTCTGAAACGACATGACTTTGGAGATTTTTCAGAAATTGCATTGTTGCTTTCTTTTCATTAAACTTATATACATTGAAATGTACTCTCTTATACAGCAAGATACAGCCAGGATAACATTGCCTGCAAAATGGACAGGTACCATTCTTGGGTCAGGTTGCAATCAACAAAGAAGTTAGGGTCCTCTAGTCCAATCAGTTTTGCCATAGAGCACATTCTTGGTATACATTCTTAGAGTAATATCCGTAAGAGCAAAGACATTTCTCATCTTTTTATCCAAACTGTAATGGTATGTCGAGAGGTCATGCTAGGAATGTACATGTAATCAGGACCCTAATGTCGACTTCATATCAAATGATATTGGCTAAAGCTTCACGTTTCTTTTCACATTTCCCTACATTGTGCTCTAGGTTGGCCATGTAGATATCTACCCAAACTATGGTACCGATATGCCCGGTTGTACCTCCTGGGCTGTTCCCGACATAGTGGAGGGATACTGCGGTCACAAAAAGTCCCATGAATACTTCACAGATGGTATCAATGATGACTGCAACTCATTGGCCTACCCATGTACCTGGGTAACGGGCCAGGGGCAGGGATGCACTTACCAGGGCCAACCAGGTGTCACTTCAGTCCAAATGGGCTATCATGCTGACCAGACACCATTGAGTGCTTATGGTCTCTATGTCATTATGACCAATAAGGAAAGTCCATATTGCGCTCCAAACATCATACCTTCACCGAATTAGGTTTATCATGGCTGTATTCGCAAATTGTGCTCATGTGGATGCCAAATGAATGTGAAAATCTTACATAAGTGACGAGTAAATCATGCCTCATTACTAGAATTTACGAACCAGAGAGATTCTCCATGGTTAAATTGACGAGTTTTCATCAGTTCTTACAAGTTTCAGTCAGTGTCAAAATATGGAAATACATGTACTCTACTTTCAACTCAACAGAAGGATTATTTTGGACATAGTGTCTTCAGTTAACGAATAAAAATGACTGAAACGTACAGCAGACAATTGTCCAAGTATAAAGACTTTTTTTTAATCACTCCTCCAGCTTCATTTATTTTAAGAATATTTATAAGGTAAATGTATCTTGGTGAAAATTCACAAATAATCGAAAATTAAAAACAAATAAAATTACATGTACATGTATATACACTTCTTTGTTTTTGTTTTGTTTCGTTTCTCCTATCAGTTTTAGCTACACATTCAAAATCACAGACTATGATGTCAACATTTGTATGTTCTTTGGCAACTACATGTATGTAAATTGCAAGATGTCCCTATAGGCAGCACAGACAGCCTTTGTCTGGTATAGTAAAGATCTTACCCAGAAATCACAAAGTTTAAACATACATGTATGTTTGGTCTTAAAAACCTTCTGCAATAACAACGAATCTTGTGCTGGCAATAGTAGGTGCCATAGGGAAGGGATCAAACTGTAGTCAGAGTCAGCCATCGTGTAAGGGTGAGTGAGTTGTACCATGAAAGAGACTCCTTAGATAACATTGCTTCATTCCATACACATGTAAATGATTGTAAAGGCGAGGTGAGTTTATTACTAGGCCAACTCATGCCAATGGCCCACAAATAGTTGCACATTAAGGCCAAACGGTTCAAACCTCCCCAAATCCTCCAAAATCCTAAAAGGCTATGTGGCAAAAATGTGTCAGTTGATTTTGGAAGAAACATTGTGTCAAGATTTTAGGCTGTGCCTTGTGTTGCTCAATGCTTTGTCATACACACATTCAGGTCAAGATTACATGTATAAGGTAATTAATTTTCGGAATATAAGCCGCGCGGAGTATAAGCCGCAGCACGCAAAAATCTGCAAATTAAGATTTGAAGTCGGCGTATAAGCCGCATGGGCGTATAAGCCGCACCGACCGCAGCGGTTTCAATTTGGTAAGGCCTCCAAATTCTAGTCAAAATGCTATGAACCAGTTCCATTTACACTTCAGAAGCCATAAAAAGGGCCACAAAAGTTATATCAAATCATTTACAATCGATACTCTTACAAACAAATATGGAAATTGATGATGAGAAATAAACAACGGGAATTACTGCCGGCTGCCTCGTCCGGAACCCCGGCCTTAAAAGTTAATGCATGGCCCGGCAGCCTGCGCCGCGCCGGTGAATGACAACATTTTCCCGCAGCACGTGAGAGAGTATGCAACCCACCGTGTGTTGTCTGACTGGAGCGCTACAAATCTTGCTTTGAGGCAACAGATGCTGATTCGTTTTGTCCTTAGAATAAACAGGTCCGTTTTCACCTCAAAACTTATCAAATTGTTGTGTTTACTAACGAGTAGTAACGTTAAAAATTCAAGTTTCGATCGTAACTTTCTTCGAAAATAGTCAAAACGACGCTGACATTTTTATGGACGAATCCATTATCTTTTTAAGGGGTGATTTAGTCCCTGTTTTGAGTTTTACATCGTTTCTTGAACACATTTCAGGGAAAAAAAATATATTGTGACGTTGAACAACTGATTATCGAATAAAGAAATTGGTAATTATTGTTCCCAAGAAAGTACACCCCTTTATTACCACAAATGGCGTGGTCCGCTTGGGAAAGGCATGCTGCATGCATTACGGATATGCAGCTGCACTATCACGTACGGCTGGTCGCAAGCGTCGAAGACAGCTTCACCGTACTTTTTTACCGCTCGGTACCTTTACTTGGGACGTGGTTTCGGTTTTTAATGACTTTCTTAATTGATAATTCATTTCAGCAACACATCTCTTCTTATACCAGTACATTAAATACACATGTGAATCTTATTTTTATTCTTCAAGGCTTGGCGTATAAGCCGCCCTGTGTATAAGCCGCAATAAACATTTTCATGGGCAAAATCAATGTATAAGCCGCGGCTTATATTCCGAAAATCATCTGTACTGCTTCCGACAATGCCTCAAAATACCAACAGTGATTATTGGAGGAGTTTGCAGAATTGAGGCACTGGTCACCCTATAAATGAACAATTCAAGAAATAACGGATGATTCTGGACGATTGAGCTGTATCAAATGTTTACATGTAGCTAGGTAGTGTACGATTTTGTAGGAATGAAGATGCATCCTAGCGACAGGGCCTAGGGTTTGTCAAACCCCCAGGGTTTGTCAGACAGTGTTCAGCATTTTTGTGACCACTTAATACATGTATATAGAAATATGCATACTGTTGCATAATATCTACTTCATCAGAAGCAATGTAGGCGGGGTTGGATTTTGTCCAGAGATGTACATGTATTACATTATATAGGCCCACATTTATTCATCTCAATAAAATAAGTAAATAAATTGTAGTACGTATACAGCGCTATACCAAGACCCTCCTCTATACACACCTTCAAGCCTAAGAACTGAATGGCAATCATGTTGCTCTGAGTAAGAGTTCAGTCCCTTCACATTTATCACATCAACTTGGCTCATTCCGACAAATAATAGAAATCCGGCGGGCACGTGGTAACCTTTGACCTCTGAAAGAAGATTCACTGTCCTTTAAAATCTCGTGGGTGAACTGGTAGCGAACCACATCCCTGTTGAAATATCAACGTACATGTACAAGTTGAAAAGTTATATTGACAGGATGGAATACAAAATGATAAACATAACAGGTCTACTAGAATCCTACTGAAAAAACAATGATGCAAGGATGATTCACTCATAGGGTAAATACGCAGTTAAGTATAGCACAGGTTACCTGTGCAATAGTCCACTACAAATGCGCTTTATTTTGATGCAATCGTGGAACCATTGCACTGGGATACACAGAAATATCCCCTAGGTACATGAAAAGATGGCAGCACACTGCCATGTTTTGTCCACTTACATGTAACTGATGAGTAACTCAACATATGTTGGTGAATATGTATAAAACATGGTAATTATTTCGGATGGATAGTCAACATTACATGTAGTTCCCCTGTGTATTAAAAGTTGCCACTTACTGGCAGTGTTATATCCCAACTGTAGACAATGCCCCAACTATGGTTACAAGTCATGGTTTCCACTCGGATCATCTGACTGCTGACATGAGAATCCTCTCATACAAAACCACATGTAGGCCAGCTATACATTACTGAGAACATAACTTAAGACCTGTAGCTTATAATTATATGTACCTGATGACATATAGAGATCGCGGCTTAAGGACAACATTGACCCAGTGTTCCGGGTTGTTCTGTTTTGCTAGCCTCATGATGGCAGTAGACAGCAAACTCACACCAGTAATGGTAGAACCACAGAACTGAGCAAGTAAGAAACAACATTTAAGTCATAAACAACTAACACAGAAACTAATACAAGAAAGCTACATCTTCTGTAAAGGTTGTAAAAGATCAATTACAGGTTTCTCTTGTTACAAACTGAAACAACCAGGTAAAAGCCCATAAAATGGTTATTAAATCTTTTCATGCATACATCCATGGCAACTAATATCCAATGTATATAATTCCATTTCTGGTAACTGACCAGTTTTATCTACATGTATACATGTGTTCTAATTCAAGACAAAGTATGCAAATGGTGCAAATAATAATAATAATGGCAGGAAAACTACCAAACCCATAGATTTAAAGTTCAATTCACACTGACTGAATTTGCAACCACTGCCACAAGTGCGAAACGAAATATGCAAAATAAAGTGACTGTTTAGTCCAGACATAAAATCCAGCATTATTTCATAAAACATCATAAAACCAAAGCTAAGAAAAGATTGCAATGCTTTACCTTGACACTATCTACGTGTGGCTTGATGTATCCATCTTGAGCCAGATCCAATACATGCACCAAACTTAGCTGTTGCTCTCCACTGGAAAAGGCAACTTGTCTAATACGCCGTAGGACAGCTTGGCTCTTCACTGACCACTGTGATTTCTCTGTTTCTCTGTATCCATGAATTGCCTACATAGGGTAGAAAGGGATTGCTGTACATACTTGTTGTGTGGTTCACAAAAAAATAAACAAATAAATCAATAAAATAAGACAAAACACCCCTCCCCTTTGTTGTGTAGCTCTTACAAGCAGAGAGAATGAATTAACTCACAGTAAGTCTTGGTACTCGGTTGGTTCTTCTCCTAATGACTCCCCAGGAGAGTATAACAAGGAGGCCAGAAACACCGGGGCAAACCCCTTCTCGTAGCAAAAAGTGTTACTGGGTACCTTTACGTGCATTGCATTACATTGCTTTACGTCCCATCCGAAGGACAAAGCAATAATGGTTAAGTGCCTTGCTTAAGGGCACAAGTGTCCAGACCCGGGCTCGAACCCATGTCACTGTTGCCTATGAAATACAAGAGCATGAGTCCGGTGCTCTTAACCGCTAAGCCATGACACCCCACGCTTGCAGCCATGAACAACTAGACATTTTCCAGGTAATGAGCCTGAAAGTTCCCCCCGGCCCTGGTGGTGCGCTTCCGGAACGTTTGAATATGAAATTTATCATACACAATTTTTAAATTTGCAGTTATTTTTGGTGCATTCATTTCTGAAGAAAATCCCCCTCGAATAAGGCCCAAGTTGTAAAATTGTTACTCATGTTACAAGCTACTCCTATAACTATGATGCTCCGCGTTAGCGGAGCAGTCATAGACAGAAAACCCCGCCAAATTGTTTGCTTCTATTTAACAATTTTGTGCTATTAGCAGTCATACTATAGCTGGGTTGATTTTCTGCTCACAAAATAATTTCGATCTTCAATTAATTTTCGGCTCCCCCTAGCAACGGGACGCTGCGCGCACAGGCCGTATGTGGCTTCGTGACTTATAATACGGAGGTAGTCCAGTATTTCAGTCACAATTACTCACATTATCCCAGTGATCATATTCATAATCCAAGTCTTCTAGATAATCTTCAACTTCCTCCAAGAGAGAGTTTTCTTCTTCCTCCGACACCAAATTTTCATGAAGCTCAAAATTCTGCAAAACAATGTCAGCTGTTTCAGCATCGCTGCTTTCAAACACACTTGAAAGTTGTCCAGCTTTCAAAATGGATGTTTTGTCTGCAAATCCACATCCTGCCTCTGGCTTGTAGAGAGGCAAAGGCAACGATCGCGACTTGCTTGACTTGGAGAAAATATTGATGTTTTTGATCAATGATGCCTTTAATGGCGAAAATGACGAATACCGTCGAAAGATGTCGCGCTTTCTGCGCGATAACCATTGGGCATGTTCGAAGGTAGGCCTACGTGTACTTTGCAAAAGTAGTCGTATTGACATGACTGCCGATGGAACATGTGTAATGCGCGGTAGGATTCCCATCGTCCACGTGGTAAAAGCATGGAGGAATGTGTTTTTATTTCCTCCATGGTTTATAGACCCGTGAACGTGGCTTGTAAACTACTCGTTCACGGAACATGGTTTGATGATCTGATCCACGTGCGATACTTTGCTCAAAAGAGTGGTTCTGTCATTAATGATCGCGCCTGTCATTAATTTTCAATAAAAACGCATGCATGCAGAGTAAGTGTATCAAGGTACCAGACTATTTATAAGCAGCTTTCGAGTCGGTCGCTTGAGGGCCTTCTAGATATGGGTGCGTTCGAGCGTTCTACTCGTGTTAACACGAGTATACTCCTGAGCGCCCGAACGGCAGGAGTACGACCCGCGGGTCAGCAAGAGTATACTCTCAATCTTCTCCGGCTGGCCAGCTTCTCCGGGTGGATTTGGCGGATAATTGAGCACGTTACAGTGCACGTTACACAGCACGTTACATGAGCACTATTCATGCTCATGAGTCCGCTGTGCTAACTTTTATTCAGGCTGTGTTGTTGTTGTCGTCGTAAAGTCTACCGGTCCATACAGACATTGAGGGACACCCAAGAATGCGTTATATTGCAAGCATTCTAAAGTTGTGTCCCCATCGTCATTGCGTGTGCGTTGAGGAAAAAATTAAGAAGCGTTGTTCCTTGCTCGGTCGTGGTCCATCACATGCATGTCCAATTTGCAACCACGTTCAACCACGGTTTGAAATAAATGTACATCCTTCAAGTCTTTTTGATAATTAGGATGTTATGTTGGGAGTTAATTGCGCGCCCCACCATGCCTAGGTCTGGATTCGATGGTACCCTGTGACGTATACATACAAACATCCTTACTTCTTACGTGCACCAGTACAACCCCAACGAACTCAGCACACTTAGGCCAAATTTGGGCAAGGACCATTAGTCGACTAGTGGTTGATTTGTGACGTACCTTACGCCTGCGCACTGATAGCAACGTGCGAACGTCTCTAGTCAAATGCTGGTCAAAATGTCATCGCAAAACTTCTGGATCCTGGCTCTCTGCTAGCATTATGGATGCGCGCGGCTATTGGTTACCAGTGAAGCAACCAACCCCAGTAGGCTGGTTCCAAATACTGAGTCGACTAGCGTAGTCAACCACCGTCGACTAGACAGAGTTCGGGCAAACGTTAGTTAACCATTGGTCAACTATAGGCCTTGCGCGAACTTGGCCATAGTTGGCGAAAGTGAACACTACTGCGCAATTTTGTGCATGTGTGTTGAAGCGAAATTTCCAACTTGGAGTAGCCTTTCGCCCAGGCCATCGTGGTTTAGAGCGGCGGAGTTGCGAAGACCCGAAGCGACTGGAGCAAAGATTAAGTTAGCACGCGCGAGTGGCAAAGCCACGAGGCCTTTCCCAACTTGATTTTGTTGAATTATTCATAGTTTTTATGCAAATAAGAAGCGTGCTGAAGATTAACCAATCACAACCCGGATTTTGCGTCGCGGATTTTGCGTCGCGGATTTTGCGTCGCGGATCTCGCGTCGCGGATCACGCGTCGCGGATCTCGCGTCGCGGATCTCGCGTCGCGGATCTCCCCGATCTCACCTCGCGGATCTCGCCTCGCGGATCTTGCCTTGCGGATCTCGCCTCCCCGATCTCGCCTCGCGGATCTCGCCTCGCGGATCTCGTCTCGCGGATCTTGCCTCGCGGATCTCGCCTCGCGTTTTTTTTTTCTAGGTGTTGCGCATGCGCATATATATAAGAGAAATGATGGCTCTATCCCATTCAGAGACGCCTCTCCTATAGATTGGCTTGTGAATAAAAATGTGAGTAAGAAATGCGCATGCGCAACACCCAGAAAAAAAAACAAGAGATCCGCGACGCGAGACCCGCGACGTGAGATGGCAGATATAGAACACCATATTATATAGAGATCAGTGGGTTCGACAGGCCACGCGGCGCATATATCCCCCACACGTACGTACGTACATACACCCACACGCAGAATTAGAACATAGTAGGCCTACATTGAACAAGGCTAGGCTAGGAAGGGAGGGCAACGAGGCAGCGGAGTCGCGGAGTCGCAGAGACGCGGAGTCGCGGAGACGCGGAGTCGCGGAGACGCGGAGTCGCGGAGTCGCGGAGACGCGGAGTCGCGGAGACGCGGAGTCGCGGAGACGCGGAGTCGCGGAGACGCAGAGACGCGGAGTCGCAGAGACGCGGAGTCGCAGAGACGCGGAGTCGCAGAGACGCGGAGTCGCAGAGACGCGGAGTCGCAGAGACGCGGAGTCGCAGAGACGCGGAGTCGCAGAGACGCGGAGTCGCAGAGACGCGGAGTCGCAGAGACGCGGAGTCGCAGAGACGCGGAGTCGCAGAGACGCGGAGTCGCAGAGACGCGGAGTCGCAGAGACGCGGAGTCGCAGAGACGCGGAGTCGCAGAGACGCGGAGTCGCAGAGAAGCGGAGTCGCAGAGACGCGGAGTCGCAGAGACGCGGAGTCGCAGAGACGCGGAGTCGCAGAGACGCGGAGTCGCAGAGACGCGGAGTCGCAGAGACGCGGGGCACTGGAGTGGCGGAGTCGCAGAGACGCGGGGCACTGGAGTCGCGGAGGCCGAGGCGCTGAGTCTCGGAGTCGCAGAGACGCGAGCCGATAGAGGGCGCAATTCTCGGAGGTAGTTCGACTGCGGCTCCCATGCATAGACGTACGTACGTAGACATAAAGAACTTTCTTTATGTCTATGGCGGCTCCACGCCTCGCGAATGTAGAGTGTAGGGCACAATTGCAGAATACCCCGCCACTCGATCTATCCACCTCGTAGCCGGCTACGAGGTCACGGTTGGTTGACCTCAATAAACATTTCAGCGATACTTGTATGTACTATGCGTCATGCTCCATTGCACTCCCACTTCGTAACCGCGTAGCCGCCAACAGGGTACAATGTAGTTGGTTTGGACTTAAAATGTTTTCAGCAACCCCATTCCTTTTGTGTTGCTTCGTTCTCAAGCATATTCAAGGGGACTCGCACTCCGTATCCGCGTAGCCGCCAACAGGGTGGTTGGTTTGGACTTAAAATTTTTTTCAGCAACTCCCATTCCTTTTGTGTTGCTTCGTTCTCAAATAATGGACCCCCACTCAGTATCCGCGTAGCTGGCATGGACTTGAATTGTTTCTTTTCCAGTGATTCCAACCTCGTAGCCAGATAATGTAGGGGTGTATTTCCGAGTGGCGGGGTATTCTGCAATTACTCCCTTTTTTCAAGCGCCGAAAAGTTGGGCATGCATGGATGTGGCCAGTTAACTGGACTAGGCCTAGCCCCATAAATCCATGTGGCCAATTTACTGGACAACCTCCGTAAATAGAGGCCACACTTCCACCATGTACAAAAACATGTCGCAGTTTGTAGTTTATTTTTGCTTTAGAAGCATACTCACCCTTTATTCTAGACCCGCGACCCCGTGAACGTGGCGTTGTATACAACGCCACGCTGTTGTGTATTTTTGAACCTAGCGAAATCTATCCGCCATACATATGGATGTTGAGTACTCGCCTAGAAATCTAAATTTGCCTTCCCGCGTGTTCAGGATGTGTTATTTCGACGAAATTTGCCATCAATGAAGACCCATACGAATGTGTAGAAATTAGATTTTAACCTGACAAGGGTGACCCTGACAAATGACCCTGGACGAGTACCCAGGGTCATTTGCGTGCAAAATTATCGGAGCCCTACGAGCTACCCGTCTGCTTCATGTGGCGCATATGATAGGCGGCGTCTGATTGGCCAATAACGAGGCCACGTGATAAACGAGCTAATAATTTAGACATGGTCGGGCGATAGTACACTATCGCCCAACCATGTCCAAATGTTAAAAAGCGATCCGTAGAGTCCTAGTTACTCGGACTACCCTTTATAGGCTAATCAGAAAGTGCTGCCTTTTTCAGATGTCTAATTTTCGTAAAATTTCATGTTGAAATTTTGATACGCAAATGTGTGCAAACGAATCAGGAAATTTCACGAAAAATAGACATCTGAAAAAGGCAGCACTTTCTGATTAGCCTATAAAGAGGGTGAGTAGGCCTATGCTTCTAAAGCAAAAATAAACTACAAACTAAGCCTAAATCTGAAAATCTAAATTTGACAAAGTTCGACATGTTTTTGTACATGGTGGAAGTGTGGCCTTTATTTATGGAGGTAGTCCAGTAAATTGGCCACATCTATGGTGCTAGACTAGGCCAATCCAAAGCGAAAAAAGCCCTAAAACCTCAAAGCTTGGTTCACAGTCAAATATACCATGGAGGTAGAATTTTGACCACATATAAATTTGTAAATTATGCACGATACATGGTTATAGATAGTGTGTCAACTACTCTCAAATACCATTTGCTAGTGTCAACTCAAAAGCACTCTAAAACAAAAGACTGTGTGGAACAAAAGAGGCATAGCACACACGCTCTCACGCTCTCACCAGCACAACAAATATAAATAAATAAAACTCGAAAATGTTTGAATGATAAACTTTTGCTAAAAAAAACGAAGGTTAAAGTGGTCAGATATTGCCTCAGTGCTCAGATTGCACCACAGACAGAGCGTCTAGAATGATAGACATAAATCCACATTTATGCGGGGTCCATCAGCACAGGCCCCGAACCCATGCCGTTTGGGCACCGCACTTCACGCTCGCATTTAGCACAAAATTAGTTCTGATCAAGCTCCATCGCCAAATTCTCACTCTTAGCTCTCTCTCAAAGTTGGCAGCCCTGCAAGTTGGCGTCACATGTTGGTCATAAATGGACAGATATCTGCCCATGGACCACAATCTCGGTCATAAATGGACAGAATTGCATTCCGATACAACGATCATGTTGAAAAGAGAAATACCGAGTGGAGGAAGGATTTGTTTTATTTAAATATCTTTTTATCAATCTGGTTGTAGGATTGAAGAAGTTTCTTTCCTTGAAGGATGGCCTGGCATTTCCACTCATCCTGTCATGGCAGTAATATTTCTGTCAGATCAACAGCTTTAACTGTCATCCGTAATCCTGACACTTATGACAATGGCATCACCTTCAGTGACACCCAGATCCAAGCTGGTACAGTGGTTTCCTTGTTCTTCAAGAAAAGCACCAACCGATGGGCAGGCATGCCTCGCATTGGCTTCACCAACCAAAATCCAGCCCAAGTAGACACTCAGTCACTTCCTTCCATCTATACCAAGGAGGTTTCATACCAGAGCCATACTTGGGCCATG